TTAATAGTCCAGAGGTCTAACCTCAGATATCTATAATTTAATATGCTTCTGATGAAAATAACATAACGGGTATCTTTTCTGTATAGGTTGTACAAACTATTATTAATCCTGTAAGGTTTTGTTTTTCACTTCAGAGTAATAAAACTTCAAGCTATCAGAGAAATTTACTAATGTAAGTTTCACTGGCATGCCATTTGATAAACATTTAAAACTCTATTTACTTGGAGATGAAATTAGTATTGCGGTGTAGGCTTGTACATCTGTAATCCAGGGAAAGTGAGAATTGGGAACTGAGAAATGTCTCACCATGGATGTTCTGTTACACTCGCTGCTAATGGTTGATGTGAGTTGAACCGTGCAAAGACAGCATCTGAGCCTTATGTTTATTTGCTACTTTAATGTGGCTGCTGACTGCTGTTCTTTTGTTTTATCATGTGTGCTGTCCTGCCGTGTGTAATGATCAGATTCTCTGATCATACTCTGCCCCACAGCAAACCGTTTTTGCATATCCTGCATCTATGTGTCATCTCTACTTCTCTTGTTATGCGCTGAATGATAAGCACAAAGGTTTATACCCAAATTACATGGTTGTATTCTTTAAAGGGTAACCGTCTAGATGACCTAGAACATGCTTATATTTATGTTAGGTTATTATTGAAATGTAAGCACAGAATTAAACAAACAAACAAACAAACAAAACCTTGTGGCAAACTCGTGGAAACCTGTGAGTATGCCTCTGGACTTTGGGGAAGTACTTCTTTAAGATACAATGTGTCTCTGTGAAGGCACATTCCTCTTGCCTCTCATGTCCACCCTGCTGGGTGCTAAGAAAGTATTCTGTTTTTCTAACATTCTGATACAAAAAATGTACAGAACTGTGTCAAGAGGAATTTTAAAGGAAATTTTTCTTTCTTGGCTTGAGATGCCACACCAGGGTAGTAAAAAGGGCAAGTTTTAATGACATCCATCTGTTGCAGATTAAAATAGTGGGGCTCAGCACTTGAATTCTTTGTCCAGAATCAGACTTTATAAGCATAATTAAAATTGGTTTTAGGATTTGGGAGTCCTAGGGACATAAAGCAGCAGAGCCGAAAGAGGTTAGTTTTACATTTGTTGGAGACTTTCCCCCAAGGAGCTGCTATTGCCTCATTTTCTCTTTATTGAGCTGTTATGTGTGAAATCTCCTGGTTGATCCAAGAGACAACAATCTATTTTGAAAGCATACTTCCCCCTACTTACGCTTAATTTGGAAATAATTCCTTTTCCTGTACTCAGAGGGAAACATGGTATAGTAAAAGTTGCTGTATCTTTCACCGGGAGTCCCTGAATCCTCTTTCATCGTACCAGACTGACTACTGTTTATCTTAAGCTCTTGTGTCAAGTGCTTTAATCACAGATTGACCTAATTGTAAGGGATGGTATGCTTGTGTCTATGTGGAAGTGGGAAAAGAATATATATTCTTTATATATATATAATATATATATAACATATATAATATATATAATATATATAATATATATTTTTTCATGCAGGTCTATACTTTTCATCTAAAATGATGTCAATATCCATATATAAAATTTGTAATCTCCTTTTAATTTTGTTCTTGAAACCCATGTTCTGGAACTGTTTTCTAATAACACTTTCATTTATTTGCATTTGCAAAACGCATTTATAATGCATTTTCTCACTTCCAGAAAACCAAATTTTTTAACTGGTTCTGAAAGAATCCAACTCATAGCAAAGGCCACAATGACTCACTGTTGAAGACATCCCTGGCCGGATGGCTCAGATGTCACATTTCCATTGGGTCTAGACCCTCCAGAACACTGGGAATTTATTTTGCTAAAATTCCAGGGATTGGATGCAAGTCTTTGACTTGCACCTACATTTGAGAAGTTTGCTTCAGAAAAGTGAAAAGCAGTTATGAAAACCAGTTATGTAACAGCAAAAGCAATCTTCCATGTCATGCCCATTCTCTAAGGAAGGTTCTAGGAGGGTCTATTGGGCACTGCCCACTGCTCCAGCTCCCTTCAGACCAACACCTTCCTTTAAGTGTCCACAGTCATGTCTGTTGTGGTTTCTTCAACGCTTCGGGATCAAGTGCTCCCTCTTAGCTCTACTTATGCATGATATTCTTTTTTTCAAAGGAATGATAGGGACACCCTGATCTGAGTTCCTGAGTTTAATCATATTAGGCATGTAGATAGAGATAGTCAGCTTTTTTTTTTTTTTTTAAGATTTTATTTATTCATTTGACAGACGGAGATCACAAGCAGGCAGAGAAGCAGGTGGAGAGAGAGGAGGAAACAGGCTCCCGGCTGAGCAGAGAGCCCGAAGCGGGGCTCCATCCCAGGACTCTGGGATCATGACCTGAGCCGAAGGCAGTCTTTAACCCACTGAGCTACTCAGGCACCCCCTGGCTTTTTTGATGCAATGTGTGCTTTACCACCTCTTTCCTCATTCCCAAATGCTTATGGTTTTAAGTAGTTTTCCTCAAGCCAGTTCTTACTTTTTTTTTTTTTTTTAAAGATTGTATTTATTTATTTGACAGAGAGAGAGAAATCACAAGTAGGCAGAGAGGCAGGCGGTGGGGGGAGGTGGGGGGAGTATGCTCCACTGCTGAGCAGAGAGCCTAATGCGGTGCTCAATCCCAGGACCCTGAGATTATGACCTGACCCAAAGGCAGAGGCTTAACCCACTGAGCCACCCAGGCGCTCCTAACTCTTACTTTTCCTAGGTGTATAGATGGCTGAGAGATGTGGGGACAGGGATGTCAGCCAGGAATTCTCTCTCCAGCTGGGGAACTCTTTTTAGCAAGTGCCATGATTTACAGAGCAGATATGTAGACCAAGAGCATAACAGTGGTTCTCACAACTGAAACAAACATGTAGCTCCTAGGTTAGGTATCTGTAGTAACTTCTGCCTTGATGCTTTGGAGGGGTGAGATAGAGTAGCTGTTAAGACTAGCTCTAGGCTGATAAACATAAGTTAAATCTTGGCTCTTCCACTGAATAATTGGGTGACCTTGGAAACCTTCTAAACCTTTCCCTCACTTATTAAATGAGCATAATAATAGGTTCTCTCTCATAATATTATCATGAATATTAAGGATATACTACATTTCGCTGACTCCCTTAGCTCTGTGCCTGACCCCCAGTGAATGATAAATGTCAACTATAATTATTAAGCCCCATGTACAACATGGCAGTAGTTTCTAGGCATAATTTTTTAATATTATATATAACATATAGTACATAGATCTATTTTTTAAAACTATATATGGCAAATAATGTCATACTTTCTATGCCCAAATATTATTTAATTTTAGTTGTTTTACAGTAAATGATGTTTCCTGTGAGATATTGACAGAACGTAAGGCCTAGCATTATCTTTCCCTTGTAAGTGCTGTGGCAAGAAACCTGAGGTAGAAAATCTCCCTGGAGTTTAGAATTTGCCACAAACCACAAAATAATTTCCTAGAGCAGGCATTTTAAAATGAGTCACAACTCAGTCACTTCAGCATTGCAGATATACTTAGGGCACCCTGCCATGGGCAGAGCTCTCGGGAGGGACAAAGAGTGAGGCATGGCGGCCTTGTAGGGAGGGAAGAACGGTCAGACAGCAGCCAGACCATGATCCACTTCTGAAACATCAGAGCATGAATTCCAGAAGTATAGATTTCAGTCATACCTTCCACTCTTCATACATTATCTGTCTGATTTGTAAATACATGTCATTATGGTATTTGGGTTAAATGTGAGGTAATTTGGTCCTACCACTTTCCATCTTCCCATGTGTAAATCATTTTAACAATATGCAAATAATTCCCAATTTGAGACTCCCAGAGAAAATACTTCCATTTCTATCTCTGTACATCATCACCAGTCATAATGAATAGGTCTGAAAGAGTGTGCCAGGAGCCCCTGCCAAACACATTCTTCGAGGGAGAGAGGCAGGGGAGCCTACCGGGAGAGTGCGGGATTATGAGCTGTCACAACTGTGTCTCACGTCCTAGTAGGTCAGTGACATCCCTTTTCATGTTACCACATCTTCTTTAGTCAGATACCATACCACCGGAAGAGTTATAAAGTTACACCAGTGTTTTAGACCCTAACAAAGTTTATCAAAGTTATTGGGTTAAGATTCGAAAGTCAGGCTCTGCAAGCGAGCGAGAGCAGCTGGGTGACTGTAGCTTCATGTCTGGAGCAACTCTCCTCTGGACATTCTGTGGCGAAAATTCAGCTGTTTCTTCCAGGATCAGATTTTGAGAGGCCCTGGGGGAAGAAGAGGAGTTAAAAAGCAGACTCCCATTATGAGTGCTTATCTTTACCAAGGGATTTTCGTCTGGTATTATGTCAGCTGGGTTAAATTTAATCTTGTTTTTCCAAAATCACTGGGATCACAAAATTTGCATTGGCCTAGTCCACACCTGCCAACTAGTGCTATCCTCTTTCCTCAAAGCATCCTTGGAGCTTTCTGTTTTTCCCTTGTAATGAGGACAGATGACTGCCAAATGACCCATACTCAGCATTCTCCCTCAGACTCATCTGAGAAACCAAAACGGTAAAGGAAAAAGAAAAAAAAAGAAGGCCAGTCCCTTTAATTTCTTTTACTTTTCCAACTCCTTTTTAGCTTGACATTAGGCTCACTATAGGTCACAAGCATCCTGAAGCTAAAATGAATGGTTAGCTTTGGGTTTGGGAGTCGTGTAAATTCATCTTCAAATGTGGCTGAAGATTTAAAATAAAGCAGTAATGATTTTTATTTCAAGAGTTCTTTTACGTATTTCCCGTTGACTTTAAACAACTCTTTAGAAATACTACAAAGTTGCCACCCTATCCTGGGAACTATTATTCAGTGTTTTAAACTCAAGATTGGAGTGTTTGCAACCAAAGCTTTCCTTACTTGCATTGTAAACATTTTTGACTTTCTGTCTTTTGTATGTCCTTATTTAACAATAATTCACTGGAGGTCTTTTTTTTTTTTTTCTTTCTCATAGTCTGACAGCAATGCGAGCTTCCTCCGTGCTGCCAGAGCAGGCAACCTGGACAAAGTAGTGGAATATCTCAAGGGGGGCATAGACATCAATACCTGCAATCAGGTAAGGACATGGCTCTGTGCACAATGAAGAAACACTCATGGTCTATAGATGTATGCCAGGAGCCCCAGGTTTGTTTTTTTTTTTCTATTGCATTTACTAAAATATCAGTGATTCAGACTTACAAAAGTCCATTTTCATCCCCTCACCAACTTCTGAAGCCTCAGACGGCTGTATCTAGATCTACGACTACAGCAAAGGAGATAGATCAAAAATAACAACCGAATGTCAGTTTTGTCTGTGAAATGATCTGGGCTGCTCTCAGCTGGAATATTGACCGAGACTAATGTTTTATTTCTCATTTATCATCAACTGGTAATCCAGACTCTGGTTTCTTTTCTTCTCTGCCATATGTGTTTTACTCATGGACAACTGAGTGTTAAAATGTGGGATAAAGAAATAAGAGAAAAAGGGCGCTTGGGTGGCTCTGTCGGTTAAGCATCTGACTTGATTTCAGCTCAGGGCATGATCTCTGGGGTTGTGAGATAGAGCCCCACATCAGTCTCCACCCCCAGCATGGAGGCTGCTTAAGATCCTCTCCCTCTCCCTTTGCCCCTCCCCACCCTCACATGCACATGCTCTCTCTCTCTCAAAAAAAAAAGAGATGACAGAATAAAATAAAAATTATTTCCCCCCTTTCTCTCTAATTAGTTTTAAAATATGGATTAGAATGAGAAGAGTTTGAAACTGTTAGCCTAAATGAAGTGTTTGGATTATTCATTTATCGTATTCATTCAATAAGGACTCTAGATAATAGTATACATTTTGAATATTATTTGGTTCCATGGATGTTGAGTTTTTTGTGCTATTTTTGACGAAGATTTTTATGCCATGAATAAAGTGTCTAGTAGCCTTCAGTGTTCACTACAGTGTGCTAAATGTTGGGGTGTGTGTGTGTGTGTATGTTTGACAGAGCTGACTGAGAAGTGAATAGTACTGGCTGATTTAAAGCTAACAGAAAGTAAATGATACTCAGTTTTTATCTGCTTCATCGACCAACCTAACTTCTTGAGCTACCTCAACAAGTTTTTAATGCCTAACATATTTTTCTTATAGTGGCCAATTCTCCAATAACATGTTGCTATAAAAGGGAAGAACATTTATTTTTGTAAAAAGGTAACACAGCATCATGAAACCACACAAAACTGAGAGCCCAGTGACTGAAATTTAAATTCCATTTCCACTTTTATCAGGTCATTTCAATTCAGAAATGAACACTTTTTTAATCTCTAAAACAAGATAATAACACACTTACTCTTCTATCACTGGGTTGCAAGGTAAATTAAATTGTGAAATTATGGAAAGAAATTTTTAAGGTGTACATTTACTAATTATAATTACTATATAGAATTCACCAAGAATCAGAAAAATTAAAATTGAACTCCATACAGCATATGAGATCAAGTCTCCTCAATTATCTGAATTTGCTAGGTATGAAGTAAGTCTTGTTGTCTGATGTTGGTCTTTATTATTATTCAAGAATGTAGAGTAAATAGAGATTAGAGAAATAAAGTGACTAATGTTAACTAGACACTGTGTATCAGGCTTTCTGCTGGAGGTTTTACATGTGATGCTTCATCAACAGCAGAGACAAATGTTATGAAGTAGGCATTTGCTGAAATTTACAAATGCAGAAACAGAACCCACAAGTGGTTAAGTGATGTTCCCAGGGTCATGCAGATATGTCTGTCTCTCATGTGCTAGTGTTTTCCACAGCAAGACATGATCCTGAGATAGTGGGATCCTCCTTCAGAGTGTATAGTGTAGTTTCATTTATCTTGAAGCTCAGATCTTTTTTTAATCTACCTTTGTTAATGTAAAAAGAACTTGATTCATCCTTAACTTAACATAATAGTTAAAATAATTTTAGTTTTTATTTATTTATTTATTTAAAAGATTTTATTTATTTATTTGAGAGAGAGAGAGAGAGGTCACAAGTAGGCAGAGAGGTGGAAGCAGGCTCCCCACTGAGCAGAGAGCCTGATGCGGGCCTCCATCCAGGACCCTGAGATCATGACCTGAGCCGAAGGCAGAGGTTTAACCCACTGAGCCACCCAGGCGCCCTAATTTTAGTTTTTATATATATTTTTTAGATAATAAGCACACTTTTTCAAAAGATTTTATTTATCTATTTGACAAGGAGAGAGATCACAAGCAGATAGAGAGGCAGGCAGAGACAGAGGGGGAGGCAGGCTCCCTGACGAGCAGAGAGCCCAATGCGGGGCTCGATCCCAGGACCCTGAGATCATGACCTGAGCCGAAGGCAGAGGCTTAACCCACTGAGCCACCCGGGCGCCCCTAGTTTTTATATTTTTGAAGATTTATTTATTAGAGAGAGAGAGACAGAGACGTAGAAAAAAAAAAAAAACAAATTGGAGGAGGGGCAGAGGGAAAGAATCCCTTAGGAGACTCCCTGTTGAGTGCAGAGCCTGATGGTGGGCTTGATCTCATGACCCATGAGATCATGACCTGAGCTGGAACCAAGAGCTGACCACCAAACAACTGAGCCACCCAAGCGCCCCATAGGTAAAAGAACTTTTAAGTCAAAGAGCACCACTACCAGGATTATGAGTAAAATGCAAATAAAATGTAGAAAATAATTTCTAAACAACTAGGAAGGCAAAAGAGACAATTCTTTAGCCAAAATACTGCTATGTTTAAATATGTAAAAGCTCAAAGCTAAAAGGACATATGAAAGAAGAGAAGAAAAAGTGTCCATTATTTTGCTAGTAAGTCTGGGTTTCTGGGGAGCATCATGGCATGTAACATAGAAACCAGGACTTTCTGTACCCTGCTGTATTTCTCAATGAAAGGCAATCTGGGCTGCACCGGCTTTCCAAAAATATCACATGTGTTGGCGTTCTGAGATTCCTTAAACTAAAATTTGGATGAAAAGTTTTCTTTATAAAATTTATCTCTTAACTACCGTGAGAATTTTGAAATTTAATCCAAAAATATGATTTGGCTTTTAATCATTTAAAGGATATGAGAAAAATTCTTAATTTTGGCACAGAGCAATTTTATAAAAAAAAAAAACAAAAAACCAAAACTTCAAGTCTTCATTTTTCTTTTCTAAGTACAGATCTCTTAACCTCTGTTTTCTTTAAACGATTAGACCAGTAGTTTATTTATTTTGGTATCTCTTGTACACTCAGAATAGTGAATAAATCTTAGCATTTGCTCCCTATCTGAAACTCATGTATATTTAATGCTTTTCTTATTTTAGTCCTTGTTCACAGTCTAATAATATTACAAACAAGGTTAACATGCAGACATTAAAAATAGACTCTATAATCATTTCATAAAAAATGTATACCCAGTTAAAAATCAATAAAATGCTTAGAAGATTCAAGTACTTTTCCCATGTATAACATTGATTGGTTTCACTGCAGTGACTTTAAAATAAAGTATATCACTTATCATTTATCCTAGATATGACACCAAAAGTTAACAGTTTCTTGGGTTTTTTTTTTAAAGAATTTATTTATTTATTTGACAGACAGAGATCACAAGCAGGCAGAGAGGCAGGCAGAGGGAGAGGAGGAAGCAGGCTCCCTGCCGAGCAGAGAGCCGGATGCGGGGCTTGATCCCAGGACCCTGACATCATGACCTGAGCCGAAGGCAGCGGCTTAACCTACTGAGCCACCCAGGCGCCCTGAAAGTTAACAGTTTTTCACGTGTCCTGATTTTTGGTCTTGACCCTTTACTACCGAAGTGTAAAGATCCAAAATTATCAGTTAGATCCTGTACTTCCTTTCTCAGAAACAGAAGGCAAGGTCAAACAAAGCACCATTTTCAAAATAATATTAATGTTCCAAAATACCAGGCCTTTACCAACAAGAAGATACACCCAACAGTGACTTTGTCATATGTTCACATAGTTATGACTCAGACCACAAAGCATTTTTGGAAATCACTTTAAGAATGTGGGTGCTGGAATCCTAATTCTCATTTTATCCACTTAACCAGCTATGTGACTCTGCGCATTTGTTTTTTCGGGACTCGGTTTTCTCGGTGTGAAGTCGGGATCATTAACAACACTGGAGTCATTGGATTGTTGTAATCATTAAATGAGATGTTTGCAAAATGCTTAGGAAAATATGCATTCAATAAATAGTGGCAGATGATAATCCTTATTATAATAGTATAATCTTTTTATATTGATTCTCCACCTAAGCTTCAGCAAAAGTGGTGCTGGTTCTCATAGGCAGAACAGATCATAAAAGGTATTCCCGTAGCTTGTGTCATCAAATAGGAAAGGTCACATTTAGTAGCAATTTGGTAACAGTTTCTTTTTATCTGGGTTAAATTAAATATTTTTTCTGGTACTAAAATCTTTTTTACCAATGCCATTTGGATCCATCCAGTCTGGACCTTCTTTAAAAAATACCAAAACCAATTATATTAGCCTGTGAGTTTATAAAGGCAACAAAGATGAATACTTGAGAATTGAACTCCTAGAATTAATGGACTATGGAATGAACTATATCTAGTTTCCTAACCAGTTAAAAGGGGGCACAGATATATCTGCAAATAATATTGTCACATATTTATCATTCGACCTCTCATCTAAAAGAAGCAAATGGTGGTGCATCTGTCTGGTTCTGGTTATACATGCCCTTTTGTTTTTGGATTCTGTATTATTCTCTAATTCTCTTTAGGGCATTAATACTGGTCCTTGCTCTATACCGAGTAATGCTGATTCAGACTAGATTTGAATAATGTCTGCCCAGTATTTTGAGCACTTAGAATTTTCAGGGTTTTGTTTTTTTTTTTAAGATTTTATGTATTTATTTTTGAGAGAGAGAGAGAGAGAGAGTGAGAGAGCAGGGTGTGAGGGGGAGCAGAGGGGGAGCAAACTCTGAGCTGAGCATGGAACCCAGTGTGGGGCCTAATCCCACAACCCTGAGGTCATAACCTGAGCCAAAACCAAGAGTCAGACACTCAACTGACTGAGCCAATCAAGCACCCCAGAATTTTCATTTCAGTGTTGATAGTTGTTC